CGTCATCGTCGTCGTCGTAGTAGTAGTAGTAGTAGTAGTAGTAGTAACAGTAGCAGTATCAGTAGTAGTAGTAGTAGTAGTAGTAGTAGTAGTAGTAGTAGTAGTAGCAGTAGTACTAGTCATAGTCGTAGTCGTAGTCGTAGTCGTAGTCGTAGACGTAGTCGTAGTCGTAGTCGTAGACGTTGTCGTAGTCGTTGTCGTTGTCGTTGTCGTTGTAGTAGTAGCAGTGGTAGTAGTAGTAGTAGTAGTAGTAGTAGTAGTCGTCGTAGTAGTAGTAGTAGTAGTAGTAGCAGTAGTAGTAACAGTCGCAGTAGCAGCAGTAGTAGTAGTAGTAGTAGTAGTAGTAGTAGTACTAGCAGTAGTAGTAGTAGTAGTAGTAGTAGTAGTAGTAGTAGTAGTAGTAGTAGTAGTAGTAGTAGTAGTAGTAGTAGTAGTAGTAGTAGTAGTAGTAGTAGTAGTAGTAGTAGTAGTAGTAGTAGTAGTAGTAGTAGTAGTAGTAGTAGTAGTAGTAGTAGTAGTAGTAGTAGTAGTAGTAGTAGTAGTAGTAGTAGTAGTAGTAGTAGTAGTAGTAGTAGTAGTAGTAGTAGTAGTAGTAGTAGTAGTAGTAGTAGTAGTAGTAGTAGTAGTAGTAGTAGTAGTAGTAGTAGTAGTAGTAGTAGTAGTAGTAGTAGTAGTAGTAGTAGTAGTAGTAGTAGTACGAGGAGAAGGAGGAGAATGAGGTTGAATATTATTTGTGATACTAAGAAGCAAATGGGTAATTAGCACAGTGCGAGTCTCTATAACAATTTTATTTTTCATGAGAAGAAGCATGCGACTAATACGAATAACACGTATACGAATAATGGTACTAGTAGTATTCAGACGAATAAGACAATCAAGAACACAATCATTAAGATTGAGAATTCTTTACGCTTCGCGTATCCCCACCAGCCCATCTCAAAACAGCAACTCTTGCGAAGCATGCCGGCAGTCGTGTTTTTCAGGCGTGTTTCCGCCTGCCCCCGCATATCTCCCCTGTTCCTCCTTCCTCCCGCTTCCTTGTACATCCTCCTTGTGGTGGGAGCGGGAGAAGGACGAGGCGGAGGAGGAGGGAGAGAAAGCGCTCCTCGTGGTTTGAGTCGTTTGGGGTTTCTCGTCCTGGTGTGAGTCGTTCGGGCCCTTCTTCCTGGTGTGAGTCGTTCGGGCTCTTCGTGGTGTGAGTCGTTCGGGCTCTTCGTCCTGGTGTGAGTCGTTCGGGCTTCTCGTGGTGTGAGTTGTTCGGGCCCCTCATCCTGGTGTGAGTCGTTCGGGCCCCTCCTCCTGGTGTGACTCGTTCGGGCTCCTCGTGGTGTGAGTCGTTCGGGGCCCGCGTCGTGGTGTGAGTCGTTCGGGCTCCTCGTGGTGTGAGTCGTTCGGGCGCCTCGTCCTGGTGTGAGTCGTTCGGGCCCCTCCTTCTGGTGTGAGTCGTTCGGGCTCTTCGTGGTGTGAGTCGTTCGGGCCCCTCGTCCTTAGGCGTTCGGGCACCTCTTGGGGCGTCTCCTCTTGGCGGCCCCAGGGGCTTCTAGGAGCGTCTTGGGTGCCTTGGGGGAGCCTCTTCGGGCCTCTTGGGAGCCTCTTGGAGGCCGTTTGGGGCGTCTTGGGGGCCTCTTGGCGGCCCCAGGGGCTTCCAGGAGCGTCTTGGGTGCCTCGGGGGAGCCTCTTGGGGCCTCTTGGGGGCCTCTTTGGGGCATCTTGGGGGCCTCTTGGAGGCCTCTGCCTCTTGGGGGCCTCCTGGGGGCCTCTTGGGGCCATCTTGGGGCCTCTTGGTGCCTCCTGGGCGCTTCTTGGGGCCATCTTGGAGGAAATCGATCAAAGAAGAGGGGAGCTTTAATTAGCGCTGCCCCCCTCAGAAGGGCAAAATGGGCCCAAAACCTTCGTAAAATCAATGATTTTGCCTGGAAAGAAGAGGGGAGCTTTAATGAGCGCTGCCCCCTCAGAAGGCGAAAATGGGGCCAAAACCGTAGTAAAATCAATGATTTTGGCTTCAAAGAAGAGGAGAGGGTTTTTCCCAACCCTCCTGCGTTGGGTACTCGTTTTGAATAGAGCACTGCGGTCTCCGTTCTCCTCCTCCCGCCCCCCCCTCTCTTCCCTCCTCCTCTCCTCTCTTGCTTGCCTTCTCCTCCTCTCTTCGCTCCTCCTCTTCTCTTCTCTTGCCTTTCACGTCATCCCTGGCGGGCTGCGATCTGCGGAACTGTCACCACTTTCGAGGGCTGCTGGTGGGTCCAGCGGAGTGAGGCACCACGGGGACTCAGATTAGACCTCGCCATCCCTGGGGGGGGGGCTGCGATCTGTGAAACTGTCGCCACTTTCGAGGGCTGCTGGTGGGTCCAGCGGAGTGAGGCACCACGGGGACTCAGATTAGACCTCGCCATCTCTGGGGGGGGGCTGCGATCTGTGAAACTGTCACCACTTTCGAGGGCTGCTGGTGGGTCCAGCGGAGTGAGGCACCACGGGGACTCAGATTAGACCTCGCCATCTCTGGGGGCTGCGATCTGTGAAACTGTCGCCACTTTCGAGGGCTGCTGGTGGGTCCAGCGGAGTGAGGCACCACGGGGACTCAGATTAGACCTCGCCATCTCTGGGGGGCTGCGATCTGTGAAACTGTCGCCACTTTCGAGGGTTGCTGGTGGGTCCAGCGGAGTGAGGCACCACGGGGACTCAGATTAGACCTCGCCATCCCTGTGTGAAACTGTCGCCACTTTCGAGGCTGCTGGTGGGTCCAGCGGAGTGAGGCACCACGGGGACTCAGATTAGACCTCGCCACCCCTGGGCGGCTGCGATCTGTGAAACTGTCGCCACTTTCGAGGGCTGCTGGTGGGTGGCCAGCGGAGTGAGGCACCACGGGGACTCAGATTCTGACCACGAGCAATGCTCGCGTGCCCTTGCTCTGCGGTTCGTGCCACGTGGCGCTGCGACTCGAGCTGGCGGTCGTCCTTCGGACCCGCAGAAACATCTGCTGAGCTCGATGAGCTAGGGGAACTACAGGAAAGAAGTGCAGGAAACGGAGGCCGGTCATGCACTCGCCGATACCTCGTTGCTCTGTCATCGTCTTTGCTGTTGCATGATCCTTATCTGGCCTGCCGGCGCCGCGGCTCGAGCTGGCGGTCGCCCTTCGGGCCCGCGGGAACATCTTCTGAGACAAGTGGACGCCGCCGCCTTACTTGCAGGCAGCGCATTGCATTCGCGGACAGCAGCATGGCAGACCGCAGTGAGATCCTCAGTCGCGTGGTGTTGCCAAGCCTGGTGGAGACGCGCGTGATCGACCTGAAGTCCCAATCGCGCGTGCACTGTACCTGCGTGGCGTTCAGGCACGCGCGTGATGCTGCTCGCTCCGCGTTCAACCAGTACGTCGCCAATGCAACTTTGGACGATGGACAACCGATTGATGATGCGCGACCCCGGCCTTGAGTTTCTTTCCCGCGGGCCGCCCGCAGACCTGGCGGCGCGCCTGCGAGCGTTCAGCTCCCGCGCTGAAATGTGCGGGAAGGAGGCGGAGAAGCTAGCGGGCGAGCTACGCCTCGCTCGTTCCTTGCACTCTAAACAAGTTTTATCATGTGGAACTCTGCGACGACATGGCGCAGGCAGCGCTGCGGGTTTAGCTCGCACTTGAAAAACGCGGCAGTCTTCTGTCTCCTCCCGCCACTTTCATCGTCGTCCTATTCCCCGCCTCACCTTCTCCATGCATGCTGCTGCTTCCGCGATGGCCTTTCGCCCCCCCCGCCCTCCATTCCATCCCTCTCCTACCCCTCGTTCCCGTGCCCGTTCTTCTTCGATCCTGGGGCCTCAAGCCTCGTTCTTTCGATCGTCGTCCTGTGAATCGTGCAGCGCATGCGCATCCCATGTAGCTTGCACAGCAAATCGCCGCGTCTACACTGTCGTTGTTCCTGCTAGTGTTGGCATACTCCTCTTGCCATTTGATGCACGTGGGTTGGGTACGTCGCAGGGTAATTTCTGCCTCCCCCCGTCGGGGCCAGAATCCTCGTGAGGGGTGTCGTTTTTTAGCCCTCCCAGGAGTCGAAAACGACCCCTCTGACCACCCGCGGAACGCCCTCTCCAGGCCCAGGGGGAGGGGGTAGGGGGAGGGGTAAACCCCTCCCCGAAGGGGAAGAAGTGGGGTTGAGGACAGAGAGGGCTCTCTAAACCACTCACGCCCAAAGGGCTGGTGGGATTAACAGTAATACTACTACTACCATTGATACTTCTATTACTACAGCGAATCGTAATACTAATGGTAGCAATCATACGAAACAAACTTAATAATCTTAATTAAGAGGAGGGGGAGAGGAGGAGGAGGAGGAGGAGGAGGAGGAGGAGGAGGAGGGAGGAGGAGGGAGGAGGAGGAGGAGGAGGATGAGGAGGAGGAGGAAGAGGAGGAGGAGGAGGAGGAGGAGGAGGAGGAGGAGGAGGAGGAGGAGGAGGAGGGGAGGAGGAGGAGGAGGAGGAGGAGATGGAGGGGGACTACGAGGAGGCCTCTTGAGGCCCTCGAAGGGGCTCCGAGGAGCCTCATGGGGGCCTGCTGGGGCCTCTTGGGGGCCTCTTGGCCTTCGGAGGCCGTCTTGAGGCTTTCTCTGGGCAGTCGTGGGCCCTTCTTTGGTGTTTTAGGGTTGTCTTGGAGGTCTATGGGGCCGTCTTGGGGCCGTCTTGGGGACCTCTTGGGCCGTCTTGGGGCCCTCTTGGGTCGTCTTGCGGGCCTCTTGGGGACTTTTTTGGGACGTTTCGGGGTGGTTTTGGAGGCCGTCTTCGGGCGTCGGAAACCCGAAAAAGCGTAAAGGGGAGGTATGAAGACACTCTGCTGCTACTGTTGCTGCTGCTGCTGCTGCTGCTGCTGCTGCTGCTGCTGCTCGGCCGTCGTTTGGAGGGCTGCGGGGGATGGTGTCGCGGACCAGCGATGGCACCATCCATGGCTTGTAATCACGATCTGCTCCAAGACGCTGGGGCTTCCCTGGCGCTACCCTGGGCTGGGAAATGGCACCGATGGCCAGGTCTCTGGGCCGTGGGTTCGTCTCCACGAATGACGTCCTGACCTCGTGGTTCCTGCGCCGTGGAGGTTGCCGTGGGGCGGGCGGGCCGGTGGCTCTCCCACGTTTCGTCATCCTGCCTTCCGTGGTCCTTTTCCGCCTTCCCCTCCTCTGCCTCAAAGTGTACAGATCCTTCAGCTGCTGCTGCTCCTCCTGCCGCTGCTGTAGCTGCCACTGCTGCCGCTGCTCTTCATCGCCTTTTTGTGCCGACGCGTTGAAGTGATAGCGGCAATCAAGACATCGGCTGCCAGCGGATGTCGTTCGGATAATGATGGCCCTCCTTCATCCTTCTCTTCCAGTTGGTTCTCTCGATCCGTTTTTGCCCCTTCTTCCTCAGCCTTACAATGTCCCCGAACAAGGCCTGCTTGCATCCCCATCAGTACCTTTCTCTTCTTCGCAAGGTATGCCCACCTGTGATACATGGTCGGAATTCGTGGCTCTATTATATTGTGGCTTGTAAGTGCATCACACCAGAGATCACCTCAAGCAGTTGATCAAGCGAAGCACGGCACGGATCGATGACGCCTACGGCGAACTACCGCCGCTTCCTGCCTTTCGGAACCGCCCATGCGGCCGAACGTTGGGCCGAAGTCTGGCCAGGCTATGGGACTGCGGGTTCTCCCAGCCGTTGTGGACCCCCTTGGGGGAACATTTGGGAGTAGAAGAGAAACGATGAGAAGGAGAGGGAGGAAGGAGGAGGAGGATGAGGAGGATGAGAAGGAGGAGGAGTAGGATGAGGAGGAGGAGGAAGAGAAGGAGGAGGATGAGGAGGAGGAGGAGGAGGAGGAGGCTGAGGAAGAGGAGGATGAGGAGGAAGACGAAGAAGATGAGACCTCTTGAGGCTCTCTTGTGGCCTCCCTGGGAGCCTCATGGGGGTCTCTGAGGGGCATCTTGGAAGCCTCTTAGAGCCTCTTGGGGGCCTCCTGGAGCCTCTGGCTCCTGGGGGCCCCTGGTAGCCTCTGAGGGACTCTTGGCCTTCGGTCAGAGCAGTCGTGGGTCCCTCTTTGGGCGCTTCAGGGCTGTCTTGGAGGTCTATAGGCCTCTTGGGCCGTCTTCCGGCCCTCATGGGCCTTCTTGCAGGCCTCTTGGGGGCCTCTTGGACCGTCTTGGGGCCTATGGGGCCTTGGAGCGTCGGAAGCCTGAAAGACGGAAAACGGTAAAATCATTAAATAACCTGAGGAGCATGATTTTGGCCTCCCGAAGGTCCTCTTGGAGCCCGCTTGGGGCGTCTTGGGGGCCCCTTGGTCCGTCTGGAGGAACTCTTGGGCCGTCTTGGGGCCGTCTTGGAGGCGTCTTGGGGCCGTCTTGGAGGCCATCTTGGGCCGTGTTGGCCGTCCTGGAGGCATCTTGGAGGCCACACGGAGCCATCTCGGCCGTTGAGTCCTTCCGGGGGGCCAGCGCGATCGGCCGAGACCCTTTTGGAATCTATGAAGAGGACCACTGTGGCACGCCGCAGGGGGCGGCGGATCTAGTGGGGCTGTTGGTCCAGCGGACCTGGTGGCCTCTGTTCCATCCCGCCACCGTGCCTGGGTTGCAGGTCAGATGCATCGTGCCTGGCTTGTAGGTCACATGCATCTTGGAGGCCTGTCGGGATCCCTTGGGAGGCCTCTCGGAAGCCTTTTGGAGACAGCTTCGGAATGTTTTGGGACCTCTCGGGGGCCCATTGGGGGCCTCTTCTGGGCCTCGTTTGGGTCTCTTCGGGGCCTCTTGGGGAGTCTTGGGGGCCTGCTGGCGGCCTCGGGGGTCATCTCGGGACGGAGGGCTCGAAATGTCAGTTCGTGCTCCCCCTCTTGGGCCCCTCTTGGGGCCCTCTTGGGCCCTCCTGGAGGCCTCTTGGGCTGTCTTGGGGCCGTCTTGGGTCATCTCGGAGCCCTCTTGGTGGCCTCTTGGACCGTCTTGGGGCGATCTTGGGGGGCCTCTGGGGCCGTCCTTGGAGATTCGGAAGCCGAAAGGGGCATCTTGGCATCTTGGGGGCCTCGTGGGCGTCTTGGAGCGCTTTTGGGCCGTCTTGGGACCTTCTTAGGCTGTCTCGGGGGCCTCCTAGGACGCTCTTGGGCCGTGTTTGCGATCTCTGGCCTCTTGAAAAATCACGCGACCGTGCCTCGCTAGCGCCCGAGAGCGTGCGGTGGCGCCGGGAACTCGGGGCAGTTGGCCCCGTCAAGAATACCTATACGACCACCCTTCGGATGATACGCAGGCTTTGGGGGGGAATGGGTGCAGCTTTTGGTTTGCGATTGGCGCCGGATCGGATTCGCAGTCTATCCATCAATGTATCCAGCGAATTAGCTATCTTTCTGTCGATGTCTTTGTCTTCGATCGGTCTCACTACCTATCGATCTCATAAGCTCGCGATATTCTTGTCAATGGAAGTATCGATCATATTGATTATCGTTCTCACCATGCATCTACCGATCTCTCTGTCATGCGAATCAAAGATATCACCATCAAGGTACTGCTCGCACCATCTATCGGTCTCACGACGTATGAAAGAGCGCTTTCTGCCGCTACTGGTAAGCCCCCCTGGTTCGGATCGGGGGGGTCAAACAGCCTCCCCCTCCGAACGGGGGGAGGGGGTCGAGGCGGACCCCCCATGTGGGTTCGAACCGGGGAGGGCGGGTTGAGAGGCCCCCCCTCTTGTAATTTCAGAGCTGCATCCAGACCGCAGAAGGATCCTACTAGAGTTGGGTCGAACACTAGTTGGGTCCTCCTAGAGAGGGATCCAGCCCACAGTAAGGTTCTCTTCAAGTCGGATCGAGATCGACAAGGGTTCGATTAGAGTTAGATCCAGCCCTAGCTAGCAGGATGCGATTAGAGCTGGATCGAGCCTTTGTAAGATCCCATTGGAGCTGGATCCAGCGTCAGTGGAGTTCTATGGGAGCTGGACCTAGCCTTCGTGGAATTCTATTAGACCTTGATGGAGCCTCAGTAGGACTTTGTTAGGAGTTGGATTCAGCCTTAGAGGCAGAAATTGATTCGAGTGGGTTCGAGCCGCCCCCCCTGGTTCGGGCCGGGGGGGGCGCCGAGGTCGAGAAGCCCCCCCCGCCCCCCGCGTTCACATTGGGGGAGGAGAAGGGGGAGGGATTCCATTACAGTTGGATCCAGGCCAAATAGGATTCTGCAAGAGCTGTACCTAATTTTTTTTTAAATCTTCTATGCAAGCTGGATCGGGCCCTGGTATGGCTGTATAAGGCTGGGTCGACCCCTAGCAGGGTTCATGAGAGCTGCTGTCAGACCGCCGTAGAATCGTTTTTAGAGATGAATCGAACACGAATCGGTTCTTATTAACTAGAGCTGAATCCAACCCACAGTCGGATTTGAAAGTTGGGTCGAGACTTGTTGCGTCCAGAACCCGGATAGCGGTGCAGTCCAAAGCGCGTGAAACATTTGTGGGAGACGCTTGTAAGGACGCTGGAAAGAATGCCAGGGGAGCTTGCAAGCTCTGGAAAAAGAGAGCGTCGCAGGAACTCCCAAGGAACTTCGATGGAGCTTCGGAAAGGCTTCCGGCAAGCGTATTGGGAACGAGTAGGAAAACGTTTGCCTGGACCCGCTGGAACTCGAGCAACTCGCTGCGACGCTGCTTGACTGGCGCCTGACAGAGCTGCCGGCCCAGCCAGTGCCGCCGGCTTCTAATTTCAAATCCACTTAGCTCTTTAAGGAGCTATCCGGGGATTTCATTGTATTACATGGGAGCTGGATCCAGCCCCAGTAGCAGGATTCAGTAGAGCTGGATCGAGCTTTTGTTTGATTCCATTGAGCTGGGTCTTGCCTTAGTAGGGTTCTATGAGAGCTCGATCTAGCCTGTTTAGGATTCCGTTAGAGTTTGATCGAGCCCCAGTAGGATTCTGCTAGCGTTAGACCCAACACTAGTGGCAGGATTCGATTAGAGCCGGTTCGAAGCGCCTCCCCCCTTTACCTTGGTTGGACTCGGAAGGGGGGGGGGGCCCGAAAAAGGGGCGGATTACATCCGAGTTGGGCGGATTCCAGCAATTTTGGTACCAATGCCAATCACATCGGTACAAATTTTAATCTTGTTGGGAGCTCCTTCCAGATTCCTTAGAGATTCCCTAGAGATGCCAGGGATATGCCATATATATATATATATAACTACATGTATGTATGTATGTATGTATGTATGTATGTATATATATATATATATTTATATAGATTCGTTACATGATCTTTGAAGATTCTGTAGAGATTCCAAGGATTATGGAGAGATTCATGGATTCGTTGAAGATCCTGTCTCGAAATTCCTCATGCATTCTGTCGAGAAGCCTTCGCGGTTCTTTACATCACCTGTGAGAGATTCTTGGCAGATTCCTGACATATTCTTCAGGACTCTGCGGAGATTCCTTCGGATTTCTCCGAGATGCACAAGGGATTTTTCAGTATCTTTGTAGAGACACCTCAGGGATTCGTCATGGATTCTTTTGATTCCTAAGAGGTTCCTTGAGGATTCCTGCGAGATTCCTCCGAGATTCCTCGGGGATCCAGTAGGGATTCTTCATGGATTCTTTAGGGATTCCCGAGAGAGCCTCAGAATTCTTGCGAGATTCTTCGGGGATTCTTCAGGATTCCCGAGAGATTCTTTTGAGGTTCCACAGAGATTCCGTGGAAATTCTGTAGACATTCCTCCGAGTTTTTTCTTCTTTCGAGATTCCCAAGAGATTCTAAGGATATTCCACAGAGATTCCTCCAGATCCCTTCGGGATTTTCTTGGTATTCCTTAGGAAGCCAACGAGACTATGCTGAGATGCCCCGGGGATTTTTCAGTAAGTATTTCAAAAGGATTCCTTAAGAATGGTTGAGGATTCCCGCGGGATTCCGGCCAATCTTCTGTGATTCTTCAAAGATTTCTCGGGATTCTTCAGGGATCAGGAGTTCTTGGCATTTCTCAGTGATTTTTTTTCCCAGGAATTCCAAATGACATCCCCAAGAGATTCCCGACGAATCCCTTCTGGGGATTCCCGAGGGATTTCTTCCAGGATTCCTGCGAGATCCCGTGGAAGAGTCCAGAGGGACCCCTTCCAGGAGTACCACACATTCTTAGTACAACCGACCAGCAGACAATGCACATAAAACATTCGCAGTATAAAATCGATTGCATAACAAACAACGATACCGCGATACAGTTCACGTGTACTTACGCAAACCTTCGAGGTCTCATTTATCATGTAACAGCTCTTTCGTGCAATTTGCGCATATCGAGCTTGACCTGAGGTGCTCATATTACACTCTGAGCGTATTACAAGGAGTTGTCTGAATTTTCCCGAGTGTGCACACGTTTTTTTGGTATGTTACTGCATGCTGGTGGAGCTTCCGCAGCACCCACATGATAATCGCATAACCCGAGACTTTACGCAACCGTCGTGTGAAAGCTGTCCAGTTCTCTTGCGCCACCCGTGAAACTCCAATCAGAGATTGGCGGCCGCTATTCAGTTTCAATGCAGTACAACTCCTCATTTTCATAATGTTTGTATGAAGGTGTGCAATGAAAACGCACAATCCTTTTTTGAATCGTGTCAACATGCTCAACTCATAGAGTCATAGAGTCCTATTGTACGGCTCAAGATGGCTGGCTGTAAGTGGTACCAGCTCGTTTTTTCGACCGGTTGAGAATCGGCCCAGTTGGTTGAAGTTTGTGTTTGTCGGTTGGAATTGGTCCGACATGCGACAAGACCCCCCCCCGTTTTCCGGGGAAAGGGGATCTACCCCCTTTGGGTTTCTTGGAGGAGGTGTGGGTTCTTTTCCAGTCAAGCGACGGTAAATCGAGTTCCGTCAGATGTTTCGGTCGACAGCCACGGGACGACCACGGGACAGCCACGGCACAACCACGGGACATCCACGGGACAACCATCGGGACAACCATCGGGTCAATCAGCGAGACAACCACAGGGCAACCACGGAGCAACCATGAAGCAACCAATGGGCAACCACGGACAACCACCAAACAACGTTGAGAGAACCGCGGGACAGCCACGGGATAGCCATCGGATGATTACAAGAGAACTACGGGGCAACCGAAGAGCAACCGCGAATCAATCATGGGACAACCATGGGCGTACCACGGGATAACCGAAGGAAAAACACGGTTTAAGCACGGGGCAACCAATGGTCAATCACGTAACAACCACGGGTTAACCACAGGACAACCACGGAACACCGTCAGGACACCGCGGGCCAACCACGGGACAACCATTGGACAACCACGGGACAACCACGGGACAACCACGGGATCACCACAGGACAGCCACGGACCATTGTCGGGACAACCACGGGGCAAGCACGGGACAAGCATGGTGCAAGCGTTGAAGTACCACAGGACAACCACGGGATAGATAAGGGTCAATCACGGAACAATCACGGGACAGACATCGGGAAAACCATTGGGACAACCATCGGGACAACCATCGGGACAACCAGCGGGTCAACCAGCGAGACAACCACGGGGCAACCATCGCGACAACCATCGGGACAACCAACAGGACAACTACGGGGACAACCAGCAGGACAACCATCGGATCAGCCATCGGGACCACCATCGGGACAACCGTCGGGACAAATAACAGGACAATCATCGGGACAACCAAGAGGACACCCATGGGGACAACCGCGGGACAACCCCAGGCTCGCCCCGGTGCGGAGTGAAACGATTCATTTTGGCGTGATTTCGGGCTTAGCTGGTGACGGGGCTCGCGCTGCTTCGCTTCGCCCGCACGCGAGGCACGGACCGAAGCTGAATGCGAGTTCCCAGGGTGACTCCTTCCCACTTCGGTTTCACACCCAAAATTCCGTTGAACAATATTCAATTCTACACGCAGGGGGCTGGCAGGGATTTGAGGGACTTGAGGACAGTCTACTACATGCCAAGGTACGGTGGCGGGTTCACAACGCGATGTCGGTGGGTATGACAAAATGATGGTGAATGTGGCACCCCCAGGGAAGATCCAACGGAGCTCAGAGATGGGCTCGATTCCCCTTCCCAAAAGGGCTCCAAGAGGGCGCCGAGACGGCCCAGCGACCTGTCACACACAAGGGCCTTATGTGCGTTGAGCCCCAAGAGGGTTTTCAGAAGGACCTGAGAGGGGGGACTCCAAGAGGGCTTCAACCCAACGCACCACAAAGGGGTCCCCTGGTAGGCTCTTAGGGGGCCCTCATGGGGCGCTCTTCAGGCCTTCAAGCCCCGAGAAAGCCTCGATGAGGCCCTAACTCGGGCCCCAGGAGGGTCCCAGAGGCAGGTTCCAGTGGGGGCTGACTCGGAGAACCTTGAGGCCTTTTCCAGGCACCATGGGTGCCATATTGATGCCCCAAAGATGCCCTGAGAGGGCCCCAGGAGGGGCCCCAGTTGAAAATGGGCTCCCTGGTAGATTTCGTTGGGGGCCTTTTGGGGGGACTTTTGAAGCTCTCCCGAAGTCCCATGACTGCCTCAACGAGGCCCCAAGAGGGCCCCCAAAGAGGTCTAGTCTGGTGGGCCCCCCGAGGTGGCCTGACAGGGCCCCCAAGAAGGAGGCCCCCATTTGGTCAGACTCGCGGCGGCATCCAATAGCTCATGTGCAGAACACAGACGAAAACAGTTGGATACATGACAAACTGATGTTGCAAACATGATGTTTGTTTGCGTCATCTGCTTGTTGATATCCAGCTGTTTCTTTGTTTTTGTTTTTGTTGGTTTCTTTTCCTTCCATTCATTCGCATTCTGCACATTATTGCGCCCCGTCGACATTCCTATCCTGGGCCCAAGACGGTCCCTCTGGTACCATGCAATGCTCTCATCTTCTTGGGGTCCATGTGTAGGTTCCGACGGGGGCCTTCTTGGGGCACAATCGAGGCCCTCCCGAAGCCCCAGAGGTGCCACAATGAGGCTCCACTGAGGCCCCAAGAGGGCCTAAAGAGGGGCCCAATAGTATTCTCTATCATCCATTCTCGCCTCGCTACTCTATGCTCTCTACTATATGCCCTCTGCTCTCTGCCATGCCCTACATGAAGTTTCTATGCTTCGTATACCTTCTGTCATGTACCCTCTACTCTCTACTGTGTCTGGACTCGTGGGCCGGGGAACCTAGCCGCCTCTGGCAACCCGGGAACCTGGCCTCCCATCGACATCGTCCGACCCTGTTCGCCGAATCCTTCCGTCTCCGCGAGTCCCCCTTCGGTGCAAGCACTGATTGGCCGTCACCCGCTCTCGTGGCAACGTGGGCCTCGGTTCCACCAGGCAGGGGCAAGAAATGGCTCAAACTGAAGCGTCGGAGCTCCAGCCTGCCCCCTGGCCCCGCCGCCCCGCGATACTGTCCCCGTCGGCGTCGCAGATGCCGCCTCGCGGCAAGAAGGCGGTCTGCGTCCTCTGCGGCACCTGTCGGAGCAACCTCCCGGCGTCGTGGACACAGCACGACTGCCTCGCGTACTGCGCCGCCTGCTGGGACAGCGTGCGATGCACAGACTGCAGCCGCAGCGACCCCAAGGGCACCGTGCTGCGTGGACGGTGCACGCGTGCCAAGAATTTACACCACCACCACCACTACCACCACCACCACTACCACCACCACCGCCACCACCACCTTCGCCCTTCATCCTCCCTCCCCTCCTCCAGCCTCTTCTTCCTCTCCTTTTCCCTGCGATGGGAAGGGAGAGAGGCGGTGGTTGTGTATATTGCGAAGGCCTTACGGCCGGTGAGGCCGACTGACGGGGGACGACGACGACGACAACGCAGACGCTCTGGAGCCGAAAGCTTCTCCCAGGGAGGGGTGCTTACCCCTGGGGGGGGAGGTCACAACCGTGACCCCCCCCCCGCGGGGGAGGGATCAAAGGGACGGGGTTTTCCTTCGACTCGATGACGACGTTGCTCGATTTACCTCTGGCTGGAACGCTTGAGGGGGAACGGTGTGACGACAGCAACGACGACGACGACAGCGACGACGACGACGACGACGACGACGACGACGACGACGACGACGACGACGACTCAAACGGAAAAGCCGCTCACACACGCCGACAGGGTCGGCGGATTTGTGGGCCCCGCAGGTGGACGTGCCGTGCCTGCCAGCACAAGCACAAGGCGAGCAGGCCCGGCGACGTCACCGAGACGTGCCACCGCCTGATCATCGAGGACGGCAGCGGGGCGCACGCGCCCCCAGGGCTACGAGCCTTGTTTCCTCACTGTTTGATAACTGCCCGCGCTGCCGTCTCCATCAGCCCGCCTGCCTCGCGTGCGGAGGTTGTTGTCGACGGGATGTCCGATCTCCTCTCGCAGGTGTTGCTAGCGGTGCCCCTGGCTCAAGGTGCCCCGAGGATTTCCATGGAGACTCCCAGGGTCTCCAGAGCACCCCTCACGAGGCCCAGGGGGCCCCAGTGGCTCCAAAATGGAGCGAAAAGCTGGGGGCACCTCGGGCCAGGGGAGGAGGAGGAAGAGGAGGGAGGAGGAGTAGGAGCTAGGAGCAGGAGGGGGAGTGGGAGGGGGAGGGGTGAGGGGGGATGGCAAGCTAGGTGCGCTCGCGTCATATCTGACGTCCTACCCCTCCCTCCCCTCCCTTGCCATGGCGTAGACCTCCTCTCTATTCGCACAGTCGGATGTCGTAGCAGGGCATAGCTTTACATGGCATAGCATGGTGTTGAAGATCAACGCGTAGCCTGACGCCGCAAAGTGGGGGGGGGGCTTCTGCGGCCAAACAAATCAACGAATCAGCAACGAATATGTAGTCACTTCCGATGGTTGCTTCGGGGGGCATTTTCTAGTTTTGGGGTCCTATTTGGAAGGACCGAAAACCATGCCGTGGCATGGTGCTGGAAATAATGACGCCAGCGCTGCAGCGGGAGCACGATTCGGAACGAGCGGAAGCGCGAAAATAAGGCCATCGCTGCAGCGGGAGCACGATTCGGAATGAGCGGAAGCGCGGAAATGAAGCCAGCGCTGCAGCGGGAGCACGATTCGGAACGAGCGGAAGCCCGAAAATAAGGCCAGCGCCTCAGAGAGAGCAGATTTCGAAAAAAAACAAGCGAAAACCCAACTCGCCGACAGCCTGTGTGGAAAAAACACTACGCGAGGAGGGGCCGAACACTCCGAGACAGTCCGCCACAGACTCAGGGGAGAGAGGAGAGTAGTTTTCATATTGAGTAACTGTGGTGGAGGAGGAGGAGGAGGAGGAGCAGGAGGAGGAGGAGCAGGAGGAGGAGGAGGAGGAGGAGGAGGAGGAGGAGGAGGGAGGAGGAGGAGAAGGAGGAGGAGGATACTCTCCCCCCCCTCCACAACCAAAGAGCCGTCGAGGACGGCAACGGGGAGCCCCTGGGCGAGGAGGCGCGGCCCTGCGGCGCCGGAGCCGCGTTCCCGGCCTCCAGCGGGCCGGAGGGCGAGGCCTCGCGGGGGGGCCCTATCAGCCACGCGCAGAGGGGGGTGGGGGGAGGGGGGAGGGCTTCTCAGAAGCACCCCCTGCTTCTGAGAAGGCGCGGGCCTTCTCTATAGGTGTAGGGCCGGCGCCTTCTAAGAAGCAGCCTGCTTCTGAGAAGCCCTCCCCCCTCCCCCCACCCCCTTTGTGCACGCCGCCAGCGCTAGGCGGTCCGGGGCGACCGCGCCGCGCGTCGGCGGCGCGCCCAGGTCAGCCCACGCTCCGAGGGGGAGACCCCGGCCCCCCCTCGCGCGGTGAAGGCAGTCACGAGCGAGGGGGGGGAGCGAGGAGGAGAGGGCCTTCTCGGGGAGTTTTCGGAAGCCCTCGGGCCCTCGGAGAGGTTTTCGGTGCCTTCGGGGAAGGCTCAGACAGGTTCCATTTTCTCTGAACGCCTGGGGTCTTCCGAGCCTTCCGAGAAGGCCCGCCCCTGCTCACTTCCCCCCCTCGCTCGCCGCCGAAAGTCACCACGGGAGATGCGGCTATTTTCGGCTTCTGGGGCCCTTACCAGGCCCCGGGACCGTGAAAAAAGGACTGAGGATGAAAAACGGTTCCCGGGGAAGGGGTCCAGACCTCTGGGGGTCGACGCTGTGAGAAGTCACGACGTCGGGGTTCTGGGGAGGGGGGAAGGCTTCTTGGAAGCACCCCTGCTTCTTAGAAGGCGCGGGCCTTGTCTATAGGTGTAGGGCCGGCGCCTTCTAAGAAGCAGCCTCTTTCTAAGAAGCCTTCCCCCCTCCCCCTGCTTCTCTGTGCGCACCCCTGACCAGGGGGGGAATGAGAAGGGGCGGGCCTTCTCTCAATGAGGAGTTTTTGAGGCCGTCCCCGAAGACGAAGAAGACTTTGGTTCGGTAGCAACATGTGGGAGCCTTCTATTCCAGGCCTCCGACTTCATCTATTCTGACCCCTATCAAGGAGGTCTCTACTGTGGTTCGGCAGCAACTCATGGGAGCCCTGTATGACTTCGAGATTCCGTATTCAGGGTGCGTTAGCGTGTGCTATCGATTGGTAGTCAATGAGGAAGCGCCGATGTTGTGCAGGCTTGCGTCGATCTAGCGTCGGTGAGCATCGACCCGCGTCGGATAGCGTCGCTTCGCAAGAGCCAGTCAGGTGACATGGGAGGCTCTCATGAGATGCCGCAGAAGTGGTGAGCCAGTGGGGACTCGTGGCGATCGCACAGTTTTGGGACCCGGGCCGCTCTCCGAAGGCGTCTCGGGCGGCTGGGCCAGGGCCCACCAACACCGTGCGGCGACGGCCCGTGCAGTGAGGCCTCTGGGGGCCCCGTGGCCTTCTGCCGCACCGTCTGCGGCCGGGACTTCTCGGGCAGCGTGTCGCTCCGCCGGTTCCGGCCCGCCACGCTTCGGCGCGACAGGCTGTCGAGTTCCCGGTCCCCGATCTTGAACGCCCCGAGCCTCTCGGAGCCTCCCGCCTTGCGGAGCGGAGCGACCCGCTATATCCGCTCGCAGGGCTCAGCGTGTCGCCCGGGGCCGTTGTGTCGCGACACCCCATGCAACACTTTCCTGGCCTCTGGGCCTCCAATGTGGGCTCCCGAGTGCATGATGGTCGGATGCCCGCGCCGCGTCGCCGAGGCATCGGCGATGCGGCTCGACGCGGAGCCCGATCTTCCTGCGCCGACGTCGTCGCCGATGCATCGCCGGCGTCGCCAGTGTATTTCCAGTGCACCGCCGATGCATCAGCGATGCATCGGCGATGCGGCGCGATCGTCCGACCCCGTCTGCTCGGACCCCATGCGGGAGGCCTCTACGACCGTGTGGGGCCCCCAAGAGAGGACAGCGACGGCGACCTCGACGGGCTCGCGCCCCTGCCTTCGCACCCCCGCGGGCAGCGGGCGGGCCCCACCGAGGCCGCCCGGGAGGCGGGCCACGTGGTGCTCCTGCTGGACGCCTCGGGCAGCATGCGCACCGAGGACTTTTTAGGTGTTTTTTTTTGCGTTTGTATGTGATATAATTACATATTCGTCCATAAAATGGTGTTTTAGAGTGGATAATGACAATTTCAGATATAATTTTGAGCAGATAGCAAATCACAGAAGCTGCCGCTCGTCGTGGGCTGAATGCATGTTGGCGAACAGCGCCGAGTGGCGCTCAGGAGCGCAATTAGCGCCGAGCAGCGCTCCAGTGGCGCCTCGTGGCGCCCCCAATCGCGCCATGTGGGGGAGATGCATCATGTCCGCTCTGCGAGCGATTGGGCGCGCAATTGTGCGCCATGGGGACGACCCCAAAAGCCTCAGGGTGGGTTGCTTTCTAAAGGACGTGGAGGCCGATGACGCGGAGGCCCCTGGCGGGCAGGCCTCGCGGCTGCACGCGGCGCTCCGGTGCGCGGCGGAGTTCGCCGTGGGCCACGCGCAGGCGCGGCCGCTGGACGCCTTCTCGTGCGCGGTCTTCGGCGAGAGTGCGGAGGCCCTCGTGGGCAAAATGCGTGCGGTAGGTTCGCGTCGTGTCGACCGGCGACGACCCCGCCGCCGGCGTTCAAGGTTGAACGCCGCCGGCGACCCACAGTCGGTCGATGTTGAACGATCTGGCGTTTCGGAAACGGCCGATCGTTCAGGATCTCTGCGGTGTCAGGAAACAAAGCTGAGGTTCCGTAGCCATTTTGGCTCAAGGGCGCTCGCTGCCGCTGCCCCGGTCTCGCGCCGGAAGTAGACGGGAAGAGAGCCCGCAGTCATGCGGCTGCTTGCCGCCTGGTCCCTCGCGCCGCTCGTTGCGGCTGCCGGCCAGGCGAATGCGCCAGAGTTGCCAGCCACCACCGTGACCCTGTACAAGGTGTCACAGGGCCCCGACGAGTGTGGTCAGTTCACGATAGATGCGCGGCTGAAGGAGGCAGCGGAGAAGTGGCTCCAGATGGCGGAGGGCCATTGCGGCGCCCATGGCTACGAGGAGCCGACGGGCAGCCGCAGCGCCGTTGTGCCAATCATCGGCGGGCACGTCAACGTGACGCTCTACAAGAAGGCGGACCCCCTGGCCGGCCTGAAGAAGGCGGGCAAGGGCGCCTTGAGCCAGGCCCTCGCCCGGGCGATGGGCCTGCCCACCGAGAGGTTGCCCGTGTGCTGCAAGACCTGCGAGGAGGGAAGATCAAAGTATTACGAGATCAACGACGAGAAGCGGCTGTGCAGCGAAGTCTGCATGACGCCGCAGGCCGCCCTCGTGGCCAGGTTCTTCGCGCCGAGCCTCGTAGAAGCCGAGAGCGGCGCCGTGTGCGCGAGCCTCGGCTACGAGATCTACAACGAGACCGTGGCCAAGGGCCCGGGCGTCCAGGCGGACGTGTACGCGTGGGGCGCGAAGCCGGCGGAGGCGGACGAGGGCTGGACCACAATCTACCGCTCCGAAGGCGCCGAGTGCTTCCAGGCCACCGCCGCGCGCAGGTACGCCGACCTTGCAGTGGCGGCCGCGGGCTTCCAGGAGGGCCGCTGCGCGGACGGCGGCTTCACGGAGGAGCAGGACGCCCAGGTGCCCGGGCTGCTGACCGGCGAGGCGAGGCTCACGCTGTGGAAGAGGCCGGGGGAGTTGGCCCTCGGGGACATGCTGCGCTTCACGAGGAGCATGTTCGGGGAGGAAGGTGGGGGCTCCGCGACGCGGGAGCCCAGCCTGATGGACTTCCTCGTGTGAACCGGGGGCAGGATAGGCTAGGACCGTTCGCGAAGCGAAAACTTGTGTCAGCGCGTCAGCCAGGGAGGAGGAGGGGGAGGAGATGTGGAGTTGGGGAGCAGCAGGCTGACGACCACCGTCATGGACAAGACAGTGATCACAGTCTCTGCTGCGCCACCTCTCGAATTGCGCTTGCCGCCCGACTTGTTGTACACAACGGCCTGTATTGCGCACTGGGTCCTGGCGCCAGAGATGCTGGCCGCACAGGATACAAAAAAAAAGGAAACAAAGCTGAGGTCGACACGACACGAACCTGCCGTATCCGTATCCGCGGCCTCGTGGACCAGGCCCCTGGGCCGCGACCCCGCGGATACGAGGCGTTTCTTCGCGGATGCCCTGCGCGGAGCGTATCCGTGCGACTGCGTATCAGCGAGATCGCGCCCCGGAGCCCTGACTGCGAGGGCGCGGATACGGACATGTTCGCCGCTCGTGAGACAAACAATCATATCATGGAAAGAGTTACCTGACCAGAGTTGGGTTGGCTGGGTTGTTGGAGGTTGGCCAGAAGCTCACCCCGAGCGTGCCGTATCGCTTCTGGCGCGTCTTTTTTTGCTGCAAGGGTTGTCCGGGGTTGGCCGCGGAGGGTGATTCTTCGATCGGTAATTTTTCCATGGGACATAGTAGCGATACCGTTACCCCTAAAAACCGTTTATATTTCAAAATAAAAAATAAAATTTATCCCGGCAAAGCAACCTAACAGCGATGTGTAGGAGCATATCTGGAAGCATTCCCCTTAAGATTCGGATGAGAATCCAGTTGTAGAATTCTGCTGTTCTCGCAGTCGTAGTCGCATTCGCGATGACAGTCGCAGTGGCAACGGCAATCGCAGTCACAGCCTCAGCCTCAGCCTGCCTCAGCCTCAGCCTCAGCCTGCCTCAGCCTCAGCCTGCCTCAGCCTCAGCCTCAGCCTGCTTCAGCCTCAGCCTCAGTCTGCCTTCAGCCTCGGCCTCAGCCAGCCTGCCTCAGCCTCAGCCTCAGCCTCAGCCTCAGCCTCAGCCTGCCTCAGCCTCAGCCTGCCTCAGCCTCAGCCTCAGCCTGCCTCAGCCTCAGCCTCAGCCTGCTTCAGCCTCAGCCTCAGTCTGCCTTCAGCCTCGGCCTCAGCCTCAGCCTGCCTCAGCCTCAGCCTGCATCAGCCTCAGCCTCAGCCTGCCTTCAGCCTCAGCCTCAGCCTCTGCCTTCAGCCTCGGCCTCAGCCTCAGCCTGCCTCAGCCTCAGCCTGCATCAGCCTCAGCCTCAGCCTCAGCCTGCCTCAGCATCAGCCTGCCTCAGCCTCAGCCTCAGCCTGCCTCAGCCTCAGCCTCAGCCTGCTTCAGCCTCAGCCTCAGTCTGCCTTCAGCCTCGGCCTCAGCCTCAGCCTGCCTCAGCCTCAGCCTGCATCAGCCTCAGCCTCAGCCTCAGCCTGCCTCAGCATCAGCCTGCCTCAGCCTCAGCCTCAGCCTGCCTCAGCCTCAGCCTCAGCCTGCTTCAGCCTCAGCCTCAGTCTGCCTTCAGCCTCGGCCTCAGCCTCAGCCTGCCTCAGCCTCAGCCTGCATCAGCCTCAGCCTCAGCCTCAGCCTGCCTCAGCATCAGCCTGCCTCAGCCTCAGCCTGCAGCTGCCTCAGCCTCAGCCTCAGCCTGCTTCAGCCTCAGCCTCAGTCTGCCTTCAGCCTCGGCCTCAGCCTCAGCCTGCCTCAGCCTCAGCCTGCATCAGCCTCAGCCTCAGCCTCAGCCTGCCTCAGCATCAGCCTGCCTCAGCCTCAGCCTGCCTCAGCCTCAGCCTCAGCCTGCTTCAGCCTCAGCCTCAGTCTGCCTTCAGCCTCGGCCTCAGCCTCAGCCTGCCTCAGCCTGCCTCAGCCTCAGCATCAGCCTGCCTCAGCATTCAAAATGTGGCCCGGGAATGGAGTTCTGGGAACTCGAAGACACGAAGTGGCCTACAGTTGGCTCCGGGCATTCAAAATGTGGCCCGGGAATGGAGTTCTGGGAACTCGAAGACCACGAAGTGGCCTACAGTTGGCTCCGGGCATTCAAAATGTGGCCCGGGAATGGAGTTCTGGGAACTCGAAGAGCACGAAGTGGCCTACAGTTGGCTCCGGGCATTCAGAATGTGGCCCGGGAATGGAGTTCTGGGAGGTCGAAGAGCACGAAGTGTGTGACTGTTTGCGAAAAACGAGTTCGGACACGAGTTCGGACACAGCTCCCCGGATGCCGCCCAGACCCCCCTGTGGAGTCATCTGCTGCTCTCTTTGGACACCGCTAGAAACCTATCAGTCTTCGCTGTTAGGTAAAAAAGCGATACCGTTGCCCCTCCCTCGTCGCCACGGCTGGATTCGCCCCGATGTCCTTGTGAGAGCGCGCCCCAGGAGAGATCCGCGCAGTGGCGGTGTCCGTACCTGTAGCAGCGACGCAACAAAAACGGGTTCGATTGTTCCTACGTGCGCGGCGTGAGCTGTCCGCGCAAGCGGTCGCGCGCAATCACCCTCACTTCTCTTCCCATCTTGCGTGCCGCGCTGGCCGCCTGCGCAAGCCACCGCGCAAGGTCGCTGCGCCATCTCGAGTAAGACCTGCTTATTCTCGTCGCTCACTCGATTCCCCAGAGGTCTTTGCCGAAGCTGTTGATGCTGACGGCTGGAAGCTCGCGCTGGGTGCCGCCGCCATCCGCGGCGTGGGTGCGACCGGATCCGCCCAGAAGCCCGGGTCAGAGCGCGCCCCGGGGAGAGGTCCACGCAGTGGCGGTATCGGTACCTCTCTGATTCCTTTGGAACAGATACATTACCAGCGGCGGGCTGTTGTTCAATCCCAGTTGAGGGTCGGGGACGGCGTCGAGATGGTGTTGTGCATACATGCTTCCCGTTTTCCCGGGAAACAGCGGAAAATGTATACACCAGGATCTCGTAAACACCAGGATCCGCTTCCCTGTGCGACTTCCAGTGCAGGGCCGGAAAAAGTGTCGGTGTATAGAGTTTCACCACCTACCAAACCACCCCAACCCAACCCGAAGGCCTCAATTTGCCCTCCATTTCCAGTGGGGGGGGTGGTCGGGGAACGTTGAAGAATCAATTGGATCATCCCGTACCCCCCCCAACCCGAAATTCGGGTCAAATTCGGGCCTTCGGGTTGGGTTGGGGATGGTCTGGTAGGTAGTCAGAGTTCGGCTCCCACCAGAGGTCATTGCCGAAGCCGTTGATGCCGACGGCCTGAAGCTCGCGCTGGGCGCCGTGGCCATCCGCGGCGTGGGCGGCACCTTCTACGCCGAGGGCCTCCGCGCCGCGGCGCGCCTGCTCGCGCTGCGGCCTGGGGCCCCGGCGCACGTCGTCGTGCTGTCCGACGGGCGCCCCGCCGACACGAAGAAGGCGCTCGTCGTCGTCGTCGTCGTCCTTCTCCTCCTCCCCCTCCTCCTTCTGGTCCTCGTCGTCGTCGTCGTCGTCGTCGTCGTCGTCGTCGTCGTCCTCGTCGTCGTTGTCGTCCTCGTCGTCGCCGTCGTCGTCGCCGTCCTCCTCATCCAGGTCTTTCCCTTGTGAACAGCTCCTGTCCGTCGCACCCCGAGGCCCGTCCGAGGAGCGGGCCGGGCGTTTCGCCTGAGAGTTCCGTACCATATTCAGGAGGGGGAAAAACACACAGACACAATTATTCGTCGATCCCCAGGAAAATATTGGAAAATATGGGAAGTGGGGGGGAAGACAAAAAACACAGAAAATATGGGAAAAGATGGGGAATCTTGTTATTTGTGTGTATTTATTTGTGTGTCCTGGGGCCCCTTTATGAAGGGCGGCCCGTTCTCAAAGTGTGGCTTTCGCATTAGCGCCGTGCACATTCGCTTTATTCGCGTGCAACACTTTCAAGTGTCGAGGACGGTTCGTTTTCACCATGTGGCTCTCGCTTCAGCGCCCCGCCCATGTGTTTAAACAAATGGCAAGAGTTTCATGGATTGAGGGCGGTCGTTTTCAGCATGTGGCTCTTGCTTTTAGCACCGCGCGCATTCGTTTGAAAACACTGCAAGAGTTTCACAGATTTCGGGCGGTTCCTTTTCAATATGTGGCTCTCGTTTTAGCGTCGCGCACATTCGCTTTAATTGTTTGCAAGAGTTTCATGTATTCTCATGGTTAACGTGCCAGAGATGGTGTCTCGGAACGATTCAGGATAGTCAGTGCGCAAGAGTTACGTGGATTCGCGGTGTTGAAGTCCCAGGGGTGGCGTTCTGGCACGGTTCAGGACCGTCAAGACGCAACGGTCAGGTTGACTCGTGGCGTTGAAGTCCCGAGAACGGTGTTTTCGCACGCTTCAGGACCTTCAAACGGTTGTCTCCCAATTGGGATTTTTTTCAGTGGGAATGAATCCCTGCAGAGGCTTAAGTGGGAGCTTTTGACGGGAGAGTATATTCCAACAACGTTGATGAGCCTTGGATTTACACTGGTCCTCCTTCTCCTCCTCCTCCTCCCCTTCCTCCTCCTCCTCCTCCTCCTCCTCCTCCTCCTCCTCCTCCTCGTCCTCTTCCTCCTCCGCGCCCCTCCAACACGAAGAAGGCGCTCGAGCTGTTTCAGAGGGACTTCGTGCCGGGCCCGCGAGTCCATGGGATTGCCTTCGGGTCTACCGTGGAGCTCGGGGAGCAGAAAACGGCATAAACATAGACTCTCGGAGGCCCGCGCTGATCTCTTGGATCGGCGCTGGACCCCCCTCCCTGGCGCTCTCCGTGCGCCAGGGAGGGGGGTCCCAGCGCCGATCCAAGAATCCGCGCAAACCTCAGAAAGTTGCTGTTTCTGCCATTATTGGAGAGGTCTTATTGTGGGTGCCGCCGACCCTGAACGACGACGACGACGACGACGACGACGACGACGACGACGACGACGACGACGACGACGACGACGACGACGACGACGACGATTCTGACGTGGGTCAGAGTCCTCAGCTATGCTTCTTGGGGTCTCTTCGGAGCCTCCGAAAGTTGTTGTTTATGCCATTATTTGTTCCCAGAGGAGAGCTTCGCGGCCCTGCAGCAGCTCGCCTGCATCAGCGGCGGGTCGTTCTCGATGTCGGGGCGCAGCATCCGGGCCCTCTGCACCGCGTTCTCCTCCGTCTCGTCCACGATCACCTCGATCGGCAGCGGCGTTTCCTTCGAGGTTGTCGGCTCGCAGCACCGGCACGCCACCCGGAAGGTCGACTTCGAGCTGCCAGAGGTCGGTGTCTTCGGCAAGCGCGGTGTCCTGCGGTTCAGGGCGGCGCGCTCCTCATTCAGGTACGACGGCGCCGAGTTCCACGAGCAGCGCTGGGACGCCAGCGACGTGGCGAGGCGAGAGAAGCCGTACATGCGCGGCGGGATGAGGCTCGTCTATGGGTTCCAGGACGCAGAGGTGGTCAAGGACACGGACAGCTGGATGGTGGCCAAGGGCTCACGCTTCCGCGACGCGGCGCTCAACGACCGCAGGACGGTCGAGGCGCACGCGAAGTCAACAGCAGTGGCGCGGTTCTTCGCTGCGCGGTTCAACGAGGCCACCTGGTCCGATCGGAGCGCCGGGGAGCTGCCGACGCTGTTCTTCGTGCCGTGCTTTGTCTACGACGTCGAGGGCGAGCCCCTGGGCGAGGAGGCGCGGCACTTCTGCGCGGAGCGCTACCTGCCAGGCGTGTTCCTGAAGTACAACTCGAACAACGGCTGGGTCCACGACGGTCCCGTGCGCCACCAGGACGCCGTCCAGGCCTTCCTCCATTTCTCCTACGCCGCGACCGGCGGCAGGATGATGGTGGCAGACCTGCAGGGGGTCGCCCGCCCGGCGGAGGTCCTGCTGACGGATCCTCAGGCTGGGGGGGGACATCCTCTTCCCCTCCCTCCCCCTCCTCCTCCTCCTCCTCCTCCTCCTCCTCCTCCTCCTCCTCCTCCTTCTCCACCTCCTCGGGGTGACAGCACGGTTTGGGGCTTCGGGCCGTTCCCATGTCTCGGGCAGCTGGGGCCGCCTCCGAGGTCCCAGCACCGTGCGGCCTCGGGCCGTGCGGTGAGGCCCCTCTGGGGCTCCGGGGCATCCCGAGGCCCCTGCACGGCCTGGCGCCGCACCGCTTCGGGACGCCCGGCCCCAGGTCCTCTCGCTGGAGGCCGCCTTCGGGCCCGGCGACCTCGGCGCCCCCGGCATGCGCGCGTGCCTGGCGGCCCACCGGTGCGGCCCGTCCTGCCGGCGCCTCGGGCTGCAGCCGCCGAGCAGCGCGGCGCTGCGCCGGCTGGGCGCCGCGCAGCCCGGCGGCGGGGCGCCTTCGCGGAGCGCCAGGCCTCGGGCGATGGGATCGGTGCAGGTCCACTGCGCCTGGCCAGGGCGAGCCTGGGCCCGGGAGGGGCGCGTGCGCCCCTCGTGGCACTGGCTCTCGGAAGCCCATCCTGCCAAGTTGCCCACCTGCCCGCCTCGAGAGCCAGCAGCAGGAAGGGCCTCCACGCCGCGCCAAGGAGCTCTGGACTTGGGAGGGGCGCGTGCGCCGCTCCTGGGCACGAGGGGCGGTGGGCATGCAACCGATCTCGCCGCCCTGCAGGCTGGCCTCGGGCTGCTCCTCGAGGGCACCCTCGGCGTCGAGCAGCGGCTGGGAGAAGCTCAGCGAGGACCAGGTCAGAGGAGAGAACAGTGCTTGCCGTTGCCGATTTCCCTCCCCTCGCTCTCGCCTCTTGGGGTTCTCTTCGGGGGGAGGGCCTCACCGCCACGGCCGAGTTTCGAATAGGGGATCAACTACAGAATTGATTTGCGCCAAACTTGATTTCCTCGCCGCATTTTAAAGAAACGCGTAGAATGCTCGTAGACTTACGTGACATCATACGTTTCTTGTTCCCAACCATCCTGTGGTGTTGGGTCCTCGCTTTGAAGAGACGGTGCCCCGCGTCTCCTCTCCTTCCTTCCTCCTCCTCCGCCTCCTCCCCCCTCCCTCCTCTCTCCTCGCACTATCACGGCACACCCCTCACACGTTGCGTGGCCCCATAGGGAGCTCCACCGAGGGCCCCAGTGGCTGCGTTGGCATGGCGGCACCGCACCCATTTCGGCACACCCCTCACACGTTCCGTGGCCCCATAGGGAGCTCCACCGAGGGCCCCAGTGGCTGCGTTGGCATGGCGGCACCGCACCCATTTCGGCACACCCCTCACACGTTTCGTGGCCCCATAGGGAAGCTCCACCGAGGGCCCCAGTGGCTGCGGCATGGCGGCACCGCACCCATTTCGGCACACCCCTCACACGTTTCGTGGCCCCATAGGGAGCTCCACCGAGGGCCCCAGTGGCTGCGTTGGCATGGCGGCACCGCACCCATTTCGGCACACCCCTCACACGTTTCGTGGCCCCATGGGGAGCTCCACCGAGGGCCCCAGTGGTTGCGTTGGCATGGCGGCACCACACCCATGTCGGCACACCCCTTACACGTTTCGTGGCCCCATAGGGAGCTCCACCGAGGGTCCCAGTGGTTGCGTTGGCATGGTGGCACCGCACCCATTTCGGCACACCCCTCACACGTTTCGTGGCCCCATAGGGAGCTCCACCGAGGGCCCGAGTGGCTGCGTTGGCATGGCGGCACCGAACCCATTTCGGCACACCCCTCACACGTTTCGTGGCTCCATAGGGAGCTCCACCGAGGGCCCCAGTGGCTGCGTTGGCATGGCGGCACCGCACCCATGTCGGTACACCCCTCACACGTTTCGTGGCCCCATAGGGAGCTCCACCGAGGGCCCCAGTGGCTGCGTTGGCATGACGGCACCGCACCCATTTCGGCACACCCCTCACACGTTTCGTGGCTCCATAGGGAGCTCCACCGAGGGCCCCAGTGGCTGCGTTGGCATGGCGGCACCGCACCCATGTCGGCACACCCCTCACACGTTTCGTGGCCCCATAGGGAGCTCCACCGAGTGCCCCAGTGGCTGCGTTGGCATGGCGGCACCGCACCCATGTTCGGCACACCCCTCACACGTTTCGTGGCCCCATAGGGAGCTCCACCGAGGGCCCCAGTGGCTGCGTTGGCATGGGGCACCGCACCCATGTCGGCACACCCCTCACACGTTTCGTGGCCCCATAGGGAGCTCCACCGAGGGCCCCAGTGGCTGCGTTGGCATGGCGGCACCGCACCCATTTCGGTACACCTCTCACACGTTTCGTGGCCCCTTAGGGAGTTCCCTCTCATTCGTTCAACCTGCTTTGCGGCATTCGTAACTGCATATGGTTGGGTCCATCGCCAGGATTTTTCCCAACCGTCCTGTGGTGTTGGGTCCTCGTTTTGAAGAGACGGTGCCCCGCGTTCCTCTCCTCTCCTCTCCTCTCCTCTCCTCTCCTCTCCTCTCCTCTCCTCTCCTCTCCTCTCCTCTCCTCTCCTCTCCTCTCCTCTCTCCTCCCCTCCTCTCCTCCTCTCCTCTTCCCCCACCCAGTACACCGTTTCGTGGCTCCATAGGGAGCTCCACCGAAGGCCCCAGTGCCCGCGCCCGCATGCGTCACCCACACCCATTTCGGCACACCCCTCACACGTTTCGTGGCTCCATAGGGAGCTCCACCGAAGGCCCCAGTGCCCGCGCCCGCATGCGTCACCCACACCCATTTCGGCACACCCCTCACACGTTTCGTGGCTCCATAGGGAGCTCCACCGAAGGCCCCAGTGCCCGCGCCCGCATGCGTCACCCACACCCATTTCGGCACACCCCTCACACGTTTCGTGGCTCCATAGGGAGCTCCACCGAAGGCCCCAGTGCCCGCGCCCGCATGCGTCACCCACACCCATTTCGGCACACCCCTCACACGTTTCGTGGCTCCATAGGGAGCTCCACCGAAGGCCCCAGTGCCCGCGCCCGCATGCGTCACCCACACCCATGTCGGCACACCCCTCACACGTTTCGTGGCTCCATAGGGAGCTCCACCGAAGGCCCCAATGCCCGCGCCCGCATGCGTCACCCACACCCATTTCG